TGGTGTTGGTGGTTATAGTGGTGGTGGTGGCAGTGGTATGTTCTCAATCGGCGTGTTAGGTGTGTGGTTGTGCCCTTGGCATCTCCTTAGAGCTGTGGTTTTCAATGCACCTTTTGTCTGCATCTCTCTCCTCTTGGACGCAGCATCCGTCCAGGTGCCCAGGGGCTGTGCCTGTCTTTCTGCCTTTCTGTAGGTGCGTCTTCCATTGGCCGTGGGCAGTGAGTGCACCCCCACAGGCCAGCAGTCCCTCCCAGGGAAATGGCCAACATGGCAATCCTACCTCCATCCTTCTCTTGGGGTTTGGTCACGTACACACAGGCACCTGGTGCAGTTGTGCTCACAGCTGGAGCGGCTCAGCTGGCCGTGGAGGGCCCAGCCTCCCCAGCTACCGCCACCACTCATGGCTGGGCCTGTTCTGCCCGTCTTTTAAATTAAGTAATTCGTTTTATTTTTCTTTTGTCTTTTCTTTTTCTTGGAGAGATTTTAGCTATAGGGCCCATGTGCTCACTGGAGAGGCAGAGAGAGAGATAGAAAGCAAGAAATCACCCCAAGCAAGGGGTGATGGCCAGGGCACCATCTCTTCTCCTCCATTCTCTCCTCAGGGTTTTGGGCACACACACACATGTGCCCAAAGTGAGTTTCAAGCCTTTGGGTCTGGGCTCAGACCGTGGTCAGCCCTGTGGGAGTCCTGTCACTCCATCTACTGGTCCCAAGTTGTCCGTTTTCTTAATGTCGAGTGCTTTGCATGTTTTAGATGACAGCTCTCCATCTGATGCATCTTCTGTAAATATTTTCCCAAGTCTGTGGCTTGCCATCTCAACCCTTGGACATCTTTTTCAGAGCGAAAGTTATTCATTTTTTTTTTATTTTTACCAAGTCCAGTGTATCAATTTTTTCTTAAAGTTTCTTGCTATAGGGTACATGTGAGAAAGAGAGAGAGAGACAGAGGGAGGGAGGGAGGGAGGGCGGGCTCACCCCAGGGAGGTTTGCCACATAGCAGTTCCTCCTTCATACTCCCATTGGGATTTTGGGCATGCATGCATATATGCCCAGCATGTTTTTCTTCTTTATTTTAGTGGTTTTTGCCATAGGGTGTGTGTACTGGGGGTGGGGTGGGTGTGAGGGAGGGAAAATAAGAATTCAACACCTGGGAGGGTGGTCGTGCCGCAATCTCT